TATCTGTGTTGATTTGGTTAATAATAAGCAATCTCTTATTCAACCCGATTCAGCCAATAAGTGTAACTATTATTATTAATTGAAATATTTGAAGTAAACTTAGATTATCTCATAGAATAAAACATGTTTATAAACCTCAAACTGAATTGTACTCAGACTAAATTATTAGTTGTGCCTGAGTCTGGTTTGAGTTGAAATAATAAAGCTTGGTTTCGATTCATGCTTGAAACCCTTCAAAATTTATGGGTTGAGTCTGAGTTTGATCAAACCCAACCCGGCTCTAATTGAAACCGAACCGAACCTAGGAACCCTAAATGATGAGTATCAACTTTATATATTGTATAAAAATTTACTTATATAAAAAATTCTCTGGGTGGTCAGGTTAAATATTTTTATTTCATATTATTTATTTTATTTGCATTGCCTAACTATAAATATTCATTAGCGTATATTTTTTTATTTCTTAAATTGCATAAATTGTGTTTTTTTTTTTTAGAGAATATATCTCTAAATATTTTGAATATTACCTGAGTTATATTCGACGCATCCCTGACTGACACCCTCCTTTCTTTTTAATTCGTTGACCCTTGCCAATAAGGACCAGTCTTTTTAACCGGTTACAAGGTTCTTCGATTTTCAGTCTTGAAATCAGTTCAGACCGGTTAATAATAAACTATTAAAATAAACTTTTAAATAATTAAAAACCATTATGCATGAAGTTTATTCGATAATGATAGCTAAAAATGATAAACTACTTTCGTAAAAATAGTTTATTTTGAGACCAGGGACCAACCGGACCGGACCGATTCAACCATACAATAAAGGGTGCATATTTGAAAAAAATACGCATTAATAAAAAGGGATTTTTCTTCCAAATTCGAATTACCAAACAGAATTGTTTTTGGGGTAGAAACATAAAATTTCATGATTTGCTATAACCAAAATAAAACAAGAATAATTGATTTATAAATTTATCTATTACCGGTAAATATTAAAAATTTTAATTTCTTCTAATGCTTAGTTTTTGAGTATTTAATATTTTTATCATTATAACGATAATGATAAGAATATTACACATTTAATATACATTAATAAATTTTTTTATGACAGATTCTTAATCTTTTTAATGACATATTTTAAACTTTTCCTCCTTTTAACCAACATTATTAAAGAACTTTTTTCTTTTATAGCAGATATTAGTAGTTTTACTATTTTGCTTCATGTTTACTAATCGAAATACTATGTGATTAAATGAAATTAGTGAATATAACGATAATATTTAAATAAGCTTCGAATTTAAACTCCAGGCCTTAATGCTATATAATGCTAATTACTTACAATCTTCATAATAATAACCGGTATAGAATTTAGCATAGTAACATAATATGAGTGGTTAGTAGAATAATGGAAAATGCTTCTCAGAAAATCAAAAATCGAAAAAAAAGTTTTAGATACACAAGAGCGATGACATATTACGTTATCTAGAGTACCAAAATGTGTCGATATTCGGCATTTTGGATATCGATATTGAATCAACGCTAAATATTTTAACAATAATCATGAATGTTTATAATAGTGGATTTGAGATACACCTTATCTATCACTATTGCAAACTCATTAATCTCCAACTTTAAACCCACGCACGTACGTACGTACGTTTTAAGGTAATTCAGTAATTATTAACAAGCACCAATTGGTATTATTATTGGATGAATAATGATCACATGATACTAATGATTCTATAACTTCAATCAAAGTTTCTTATACATTACAACAGCGATAGAAAAAAATAAAGTGAATAATTAATGAAAGACAAATCTACGCTATGTTTTTATTTAGTTCAACAAAAAAGGTTAGCATATTGTTTGTAGTGCTATCAATTAAATAAACTTTACTTTCATAAGAGAAAATAGTAGGAATTTGCTGATCATATCAATTGGCAATTGCTCACGGATTAACGGACATGATTTATCGTTAATCCATAACCATAAATTATCCGAATGGACTTGTGACTTAATCATGTGCTAGATCATGTGTATAATAATTTTAATCGAAGTTTCTTTTATATTACAGCAGTAGTAGAAAAAAGCCAAACGAATAATCAATGAGAGTCGAATTTTTATTTAGTTGGCAGAAAAATTTAGCATACTACTTGTAGTTAGTGATGTGAGTTGGTGGCTACCGGTAGCTATCTACCACTGGTAACTACCGGTAGTTACCGGTAGCTACCGTGAGGTTAATGATATAAAGAAGTAGATGGTGGGTAGATGGTTAACAGTTTATTAAATCTGATTGGTTGATTACAGCTTGCACCATATATACATAGGTAGAAGAATTAGCTAATCTGAATGAAAGTTACCGGTAGTGATAGCTAACGGTAGCTACCACCTACTGGTATATATTGGTGATTTGGGAAAATTCACATCACTACTTGTAGTACTACGGTTTAAATAAGTTCCACTTTCTCCTTTGAAAATCTAATGCTAAACACTAACAAGAATGCAAATTAGCATATTCAACTTGTCTGGATACGTATCATTTCACCGACAATCATTTCGCCGACATCTCATTTCACTGACAAGTTCATTTCACAGACAATTATTTCAGCTACATTTAGTTCACTGACATGTGTAGTTAACCGACGTGTTTAGTTCACCGACAATTGATTCACAGACAATCATTATACTAGGGATGTTGTTGGCTTGGATAGCTTAGTTTAGCTCAAAAAAGCCATAGCCAAGCTATAACTAAGCCATAGCTATAATTAAAGCCAGAATCAATAGTTATTCTTTTATAACTTTAAGCAATTTTTAAACTTTAGCTCAAGCTATAGCTAAACAATTAGCTTGGCTTGGCTTCAAAGCTGGCTTCAAGTGAAGCCTACATTATACCGACAAGCTTATTTCACCGAAAATACGTTTCACCGACAGTATGTTTCACCGACAAGTTTAATAATGAATATCGGGTGTATACCGGAAGACAAGTTTCCCGATATGTACCTGTTAGTCTGCCATAGATCCGCCAAATACCTGCTGAATATCAGCAGCATATTGGCAACATATTTGTAAGATATCAGGAGGTAGATCGATAACAGTACAATATTGAAATACACTGATATCTTACTCTTACATATCGGGAAACTTTTCTCCCGGTATGCACCCGATATTCATTGATTCGACCTGTGATATATACCTACAATTAATAAAAATGCTAACCTAACCCTATATGATGTCATTTAAATGAGAAATGACCACCAGAAAATGAGCAATAATGGAGTTAATCAATTAAATTTGTCGGTGAAACGTATTAGGGAGAGGAGGGTATTAGGACGCAGGTGGGTATTGTGACGCACTCGATGATATCTTGCGATACATTGATCAGAATCGAGTAATTTTGGCATCGACGATTCCTCTTACTGAGACGAATCGAATGATATTAAATTCACTTCATTTGAAATGCTAGTGTTCGAGTAACGACCAATCTGATGTGCGTTATAATACCCCCAATGTAAAAAACATAGCATTTTTTGAGTAGATTTTAAAAGCTCATATTTCAAAATTTTTTTTTAAAAAGTCGATTTTTTTTTTTTTTTTTATTGGTAGATAGTTAATTCGATGAGTAATCTATTTCAATAAATTTCAAGAATAGATCTATTTTTCTTGGAAAGTTTTATATACGCAATTCTTAGGTGCGTCATTATACCCTCCCTTTGTCGGTGAAATAAGCTTGTCGGTGTAATGATTATCTGTGAACTACACGTCAGTGAATTACAGCTGTTTTCATAAATTCTGGGACACCTAAAAATTTTCTCGTCTCCCGAAACCTTTTCGATCTTGTTCTTAGAATCATTTAACTTTTCGGAAACTACTCGCTATCTCCATATCGAAGTTCCAAGTACAGCGAAGTAGTTTCCGAAAAGGTAGGTGATTCTTAGAATGAGATCGAAGTAGTTTCCGAAAAGGTAGGTGATTCTTAGAATGAGATCGAAGAGGTTTCGGGAAACGAGAAAATTTTTAGGTGTCCCAGAATTTATGAAAACAGCTGTAAACATGTCGGTGAACTAAATGTCGGTGAAATGATTGTCGGTGAAATGAACTTGTCGGCGAATGGATTGTCGGAACGAGGTGTCGACGAAATGATTATCGGTGAAATGAGCACCACCCGAAAATTATCAAATCTTGATAAATAATATTGGTAGAGTCGTAACCCGGATAAATCCTTCATCCGTTTATCCATATGGGCGATGGACTAGGAAAAGTTTTCCTAATCCATCGCTCATATAGTAATGCTGAAGGCAGGTTTTCATTATCCGGATAATTCAGATCAGATAAACAGATAAAATATCTGGATAATTCGATATATAATCGATATCAACAGTAAATGGATATCCGTAAATGGTAAATATTTTCATATTTCAATATTACGTACGTATTAAAAAAAATATATCTCTTTATTATGAAATCTTGTAATTCAACTACGTATACACCGTAAACGCCACAATCATAATTTATTGAAATTATACCGATAATATCCTATAATACATGATTATTAATCGTTGTACATATTGATAATCAATTCGGGATGTTTCTCGTGGCAAAAACAAACGATTTAAAGTTCTATTATCTTTTAAATCCGATAGAAATACAATTTTTTTTGTCTAATTAGTCAAAAAGATATCCGAAGAGAAAAACATTTTGATTTGATGGCTATTTTTGGTACATAATATGTTCCACATACGTATGTAATACAAGACAAAATAGGAATTTTGTAATAATTGCGATCGGTTTTAAATTTGTAATTATTTAATAACTATTTAAAGTTAATAATTTATTATAATTGAAACTTTATACGTACGTGTATTAAGTTTATACATTTATATATGCGATCGAAAATTAAAAATTAACTGGCCAAGAAACAATTGTCAATGACGCACATGAATTTAGTTAATGTACGATTGTTAGGTGAAATTAAAAATTATTATAAAACAGTAAGAAATTAAATTAAATTGTTCTATAGGTTTCATAACTTCGCTTCGCAACATTAATAGTAGACCAGGCCATTATCAAAGTTACAATGGTTGTCTTATTTATGTAAATTCAGGTTACTTCGACAAGAGATGCGGTTGAACTGTTACAGCTTATGCTGTAACTTTATGTCGTGACTAGTTACAGCATACCAAACAAAGCAAGCCTCTGCTAGAGTAGGCGTTTAAATTTATGGAACGATCTCGAAACAACCACTCCTGAAGCTGACTAATGGCAGCAAGACAAGGAGTATCTTGGTGCCGCAGTTATTTGTGCGAGTTCATATAAAGGAAATATTCAATCAGAGAATAATATTTTCTCTATAACCTCTAATCAACCTCTCACCATAGCATGATCTTATAATTTTTAATTTCTCACATTTGGTGCCAAGTTTCCTTAATTTTATTTTTTAGATTTGTATCACTCGCCAAGATATGATTTATGAATGTATTAGATGCTTTATATTTAGATAATAAAGCGGAGGAAAATTTCAAAATGTAAACTTGGTTTAGGGACTTGTGCGAACCCTAATGACATTATTTTTTTGTCGGCCCATAATATAAAATTTACTATGTTCTTTAAAAAGTTCAATCCGCTTTTTTACTATATTTGACTCGCATTTAATTTCGGCCCGGCCCGCGCATACCTCTACTCAGATTGGTCATATGCAAATCACAGGACACGAAATGCCTTAACTGTTTTTGGTTCTCTAAAAATTAAAAATTACTGTACCCGTATTTGTAACAAATGATGCAGCCAATGACCCGAATAGATATGTTTCGAAATCAGTAATCTTTCTCTATTCGATCATAAGTGTCCTAGGATTCATGATAATAATTGTAAATAAGGATCACACCAAGTTGTTCATACAACGAAATACAGTAAAGATGTAGAGAGAATTGAATAGGCAATAATTAGTAGAGAATTAGTAGAGAATTAGTAGAGAATTAGTAGAGAATTAGTATAAATAAATTGGTTATAAGTGATATTCAATGTCACATCAGATAAATGAAAACTTTTTTAAAGTCTGTAATCAGGTTGAGACAATAAAAGAATGTATATACTAATAATATTTAGATGTGCGCAATCATCTATCACTATTGCTATGTATTGTTTATTAAAAATTTTTTTTTCTTTTCTTTTAATATATTACATTTCGTTGTTAAAACAAAAAAAAGAATGTATAAAAATATTAAAATATATAAACCATTCTGTTATATAATAATTTATTATTATTAGCATGATATAAATTTTTATTCGTAAAAATTTGCACCAGGCATCTTTCTTACTAATAATTCACTTGTTTTGTATTAAAAAAAAATTGTATTATAATCATCTATCTATATGTTATATATATGCATATTGCCGTGTGGAAGTTTTGCCAGGCTCCACCCTAACATCCTCAAGTTCTTTGTATTCATTATTTGTTATAATATTTACACTTTTGTCTTTCTGCGAAAACATTCTCGTTATACCGCCTCCGATTATTGATATAGCACACAGAGCAAGAAGTGCAGATGCGGCGGTCGGTCCAACTACTAATTGCATTTGTAATTGGGTTCCCGGAAGAGTTGGTGCTGGCATCGAACTACTTGTGTCTGTTGTGTCTGGCGATGCCTGACGTTTCAATAGTAGGTCGCTTATTACATCTTGATTTACTTGTAATGCTTTTGAATTTGTTAAATTCGTATTAAATTCGTGTTAAATATTTTTAAAAGTTTAGAAATTAATCTTTAGATAAAATAAATGTGCTTACCAGAAGTAATACCAACCGAAATTGTACACGAAAGAATGATTATAAAAACAGTGAATCTTCTATGAATCATCTTGCTAATAAAAAATATATATATTAAATACAGAATGGTTAAAACTGAACTAGCAGTCGTGAGGAAAAAAAAAAATGATGGTAGGCACTTTAATAGAAAAAAAAATAATCCACATCTATTGTATATTTTATTTATTATTTTACATAAATAGATCTCATAATTATTTGGTACAACAAATTGTTGTTCAACAACAACGAGAACTAATATGTTTCAGAGTGTCAGAGCATTGTGTTTTTGTTTTGAAATGCAATGCGAATGTTGTGAAATATCAAACGATAGTCAATTTGTTGATTTCTTTTGGTAATACGATTTTAGAATTTCGTTCCCTTAATTTTGTCTAACAAATCTTTTCTTGTAACCTTTAGATCCATCCCTAGCAACTTTATTATAAGGTTGAACTGTAAATTTTTTATTAGATATATATTTAATTAATTTGATTCCGTACTTGGCATACAATTTTAATTAATTCTCCATATATGCATTCTTGTTTTCTACTCATAATAAAATACTTGACTGATAAGAAAAGCCAAGTATTTTAAAGTTTGTTTTTTTTTTTTTTAGCCGTCAGTTTCATATAATGCACGAACCAAAAAAAAGGTATATTAACATGCGTCCCCTTGTTACATTATTATTATGATAATAATATCGTCCAACAAATGATATTATGACTAATAAGGAGTTATATACCTCAAAATTACCTCTCA